AGTCGACTAAATTAGTCGTTTTAGTCGACTATGTTAGTCGTTTTAGTCGACTATATTAGTCGTTTTAGTCGACTATATTAGTCATTTTAGTCGACTATATTAGTCATTTTAGTCGACTATATTAGTCGTTTTAGTCTCGTTTTAGTCGACTAAATTAGTCGACTATTAGACTAATTTAGTTGCTAAAGTTTTTAGTCGAATTTTTCCACTAAAACTATTAGTTAGTCGTCTGTTAGTCGACTAAATTGAGTCGATTAACAACACTACTCCTTAATATCCCCTTGAATTTTTAATTGCCCCCTGAACGATTTCTTTTATAATTCTATTGCGTAATATATAGTTTAATTTTTATTTAAAAATTAATAGGACTATCTAAATTTTTATTAAATGAATACTATTTTAATTATTAGATTAGATTAATAGATATAAATTATATTTTCATTATGTCAGCTTGCTCAATTCTGTGTTAAAAATATATCAATATCACTCACTAAATATAAATTTAGTATTAACAGTTGAGGCTTAATTGACTTTTATTATTTAAATTATTATATAATAATCATTTATTAATTGAAAATTATCAAATTTAATATTGTAATTAGCCGAGTTCAAAATAACTAATCAACTATATTATTGATTTTTAAATTTAATTATCATGTCTCTTCCTAAAATTATTTTCAAGGTCCAAACCCAAATAAGTATAAGAGAATTATTTATAAAAAGTAAGTAGACATATAGTATAATCCTCTATTATACATTATTATTTATAAAATATTAGGTAAAATGCCACTTTTACAGATCTATTTGAAGTTATAAAATCTGGGGCGTCGCTAGCCTTTACAACTCATGGGGCTAACTAATAAAAATTTTATGATGGGGGGGGGGGGGGGGTTCGCTTCCATACCCCTTATTTTGCGGGCCTTCGGCCCTCTTTTGCTTGGCCTTCGGCCGCGTTTTATATTAATATATTATACCTTTTTTAAATATGCTAACTCTAGACAATTATTCTGAATATTCATAATATTTTCCATACAAAATAAACTAGCATATAAATAATTAAAACAATACAAGACATTTCCAAAAATAATGATTTTTAATACAAAATCTATTTATACAGTATAAAATATTTTCGATTGCTGATATAAAAAAATTTTCCGCAAAGAATTACAAGTGATAAAAAAGGTTAATTAATTCATACATATGCCTCAATTGATAATGGTTTTTAAAAACGACATAGGACTATATAATTCTAGCAAGTTACACTGACAAAAAGTCATGAAAATAATATAAATCTCTATTGTCATTTTAGACAATGTTTTATAGAATGGACTAATAAGGAAAAATTTATTAGCCCTCAACAATTCTTGAAGAAGAGGACCAATCCAAATCATAAAACTATATGGTGGTTAGAGTTTCCTCTTAGATGACATGATGGAAGCTAGATAAGTAATCGAGAAAATTATCGTGAGATATTAAATTTCTAAAAGATTATCTTCCATTATTTATGACATATAAACGACTACACAGTTGACCATTATTGCTTATCTAAAATATGTAATCATATGCTCTCAGCAGCTGTAGTAATAATCTTAAATTACATAGCCAAACAAATAATAGATGCTGGTTAATTTCTCACGATGGTAACCCTTATCAGAATTTGTAATGTTAGATAAATTGATAATATAAAAACACTAAAAATCTTTAAAAGTGCAAATATATTGAAGCCTTGAGTTATTTACACGGCAAGGATGCCATATAGAAATGAAATATTTTATAACTATAAAATAAGAACCAGAGTGATATCATGAAAGCAATTAAGATTTTATATATTATTGTCTCACCATCTCTAGTTGGTATATTATATCTTAAAATAATAGTAGTTTGTAATAATATCAAAAATATATTCATATTAAAAATTTAACTCAAAACTGTTTTTCATAGAAGAAAAAAATAGCTTTCCTAAAAACAAATAAAAAAAGAGAAGAAAAGATTTCTATTTTATTACATCCATTGTGGGATAAAAATAAGATGTTTAATTTTAATAATATTTTAAATAAATATATGGCGTTAAATAATTTTATGCAAATTGTTACTTATATTTATTAACTAAAGCATTTATTATTAAATTTTTTAAAATAACTGTAATATATTATATAGCTGTCAAATACGTCTGTAAAAGTGGCATTTTACCTGATATTTTATAAATAATTATATATTATAGAGGATTATAAACTAAATGTCTATTTACTTTTTATAAAAAATGCTTATTTGGATTTGGACCTTGAAAATAATTTTAGGAAGAGACATAATATAGTTGATTAGTGATTTTGAACTCGGCTAATTAATATTAAATTTGTTAATTTTCAATTAATAAATGATTATATTTATTTAATTTGGGTTATATAATATTTTCAAAGTTGTTAACACTCCTTTTTAAAAGTAGCTAGCTCCCTCTCCCGCTCCTACCTTCTTAAGAGGAGCTAGCTCCCGCTCTCGCTACTATATTTTTAAAAGTAGCTAGCTACCGCTCCAAATATTGGAGCGCCACTCCATAACCGCTCCTTTGATTTTCATTTTTTTTAGAAGGTATACGAAACAAAATCATATTTTTTTATCAAAAAGTTTTATTTATATTAAATGATCTATCAAAATATTTATAACCTTTTACTAGTTTTTAAAAGTAATAAATTTTCTAAATTAGAATCTAACAAACATCCACGCCTCTCCTCTAAGATCTCTTTTGCAATACTAAATAGGCGCTCCACAGGAGCACTATAGGGTAGCGGGGTATTGTATTTTATAAAGCTATTTTTTAATTCAGGGAATTTATCAAAAATAGTAATTTTGTTATCATTATTTAAAAAATATTTGTCCAATATATTATCTTCCTGATGAACATTCATGGAATCCAAAAAAATCTTCCAAATCATTTTGTATTTAAAAGAAATATTTTTTACTTTTAGTTGCTTTTTTAGATTGAAACTGCTCACTTTTGAAAATAAATAGCTTTATAAGACATTTTGCCCTTAAATTTGTTTGATCATTTGGATCAATATCTTTTAGAGTTAAAAATAATTTTTGCATGATGGAAATGGAAATTCGATTTCTTCATCTATGATCTCTAAATCCAAAATATCTAAAACTATTTTTTATTATATATATATGAAATGAATATTAATATGACTTACAAGATTTTCAAAAGAATTTTCAATATAAAAAGGAAAAACATGATGTTTAATATTTAAAATGATTAGATGAAAAACTAATATAAAACTCGGCTAAACATTTAATAATGGATAAATTTAAATATAATATTTCATTTTTATTGAATTTTAATTAACAAATATTATTAATATTTTAAAAAAATTTAATTTATACATTAAATTTTCGCTCTAGCCCTAAAAGAAGCTAGCTCCTGCTCCCGTTCCATTGTTTTTTAAAAAATTTAGAGCGCCGTTTGAAAAAATTATGAACATTCTTATATTTTTGACAAACGTAAACGTTCTTTTTGTTCGTTTTTAATTTTGTTCAATTTTTGAAAATCTTCTTATTTTAAATAAAAAATGTTACTTTAATATAATATAAATCCAAATTTTTTAAGAAAAAGGGTTATTTTTTAATCAGCTGTTTCCTTTATAACATTTGAATTTTTTTTAACTGGCTTTCTAATATTAGAATTTATTAATTTTAAAATTATTTATATTTTATGGATTAGTATAAGCATGGATGTTGTTAGACATCTTATTTTGAATTACATACCATGGCCCAAATATAATAAATACTTTATAGTAACATCCTATATTCCAGGAACTAATTCTAACCTTAGCAAATGCAAAATGTCCAAAAAGTATAATATTAATTTCAAAATCTTCAAATTTCAATTTAAGACATTTGATTGTAGTATTTATTATTTATAAAACGATAAGTAGCCTATTTTAGATTCAATCCATATGCTTATTAAATTATTATTATTATTATAATTGTTACATAAAGTATAAAGCAAAAATCATTAAATTTTATATATTATATAAATAGTTATAAAATAACTAATACCTTTTAAATTGATATACTTTAAGTGTGATTCTTTAAATTATAATCTAATCGCTATTATTTCTAAGTTTTTATCTAAAGGCTTTATAGAGGTTAGTAAGTCGGTCAATTTACAGGTGACCTTGTCAAATACGGTCAGATATTCTAAAAAATCTGGGGAAAAAATTAAAATAATGTTTGAAAAAATAAAAAACGATATAAATACATGTGATCACAATGCTTCTTATTTATTGGAACTCCGATATCAAAAGAAGCATATTACTAGTTGTGAATTTAATGAAGTATGTGATTAAAATATTTCAAGTGATAACATAAATTCAGAAGTAAAAGCGGCCTGTTTGATAGCAAATTATGTGGTCCATAAGAAAAAATCAGTTACAGACCTCGAGTTATTGGAATTGGCTTTGCCCACCATGCCCTTTAAGAGAAGTAGTATTTTAAAAGTTCTATTTCTTTTTCATAAAGAAATGTTATATATTCAAAATTGATAACCTTACCTATTATTACTTTTTGTTTTTCGTTTTTCGTTTAGAAATTAATATTTATAATCTAATTTTTATAACCTTACCTATTATTACTTTTTGTTTTTCGTTCAGAAATTTATATTTTTAATATAATTTTTGTAACCTTACTTTTTGTTTTTCGTTTTGATCATATATATTCTAATTTATATTTTTAGATAATATATATATAGTATGTGTAAAAAGAGATAATAATAATAAAATATATTTTTACTTACTCGCACGTTTATCATGATTCTCTTCATGGTGCTCCCAGTTTGACAAAAAAAACTCGCCTTATGGAAATTCTTTTTTTAGAAATTTTTCTTTTGTTAAAAAAATTTTTTTTTCTCTCTGTAAATATGAATAATAAAAAATTATAAAACGATACAAATAATTTCTATATAAAGAAGGGAAAAAAAGTAAAATCATTTTGATATTATTTCCATTATGTTTGCTTTTAAACTCATCAATATTCCTTATGAAATTTCCGTTTACGCCATATTATTCGAATTGACTTACAACTGTGACGTGCACGACTCTAGAATACTGGGTAGTGACGATGTTTTGTTTGAGTTTGTGAACCTCAAAGATATGATAAATTGTTTTGAATCATTGAATGGCAAATATTACGTGTATAAGGAGTCAGAATTTTTCCAATTAAACTGCATTTTTGTTAAAATCTGAAATGTTATCATTTCTAATATATATGATTTATTAATAAAATATGGAAATAAAACCTGAATTAATATACAAATTCCTAAATTAGTTGGACCACTTACTGAGATTTACTTAGACAGAATATTAAGTTATTTTTCGACCAGCACATTATCGGACTCTATTAAAATAAATACTTTGCTTAATAATTTATCAGACGAGGTCTTTGACAACATTAAATCAATTTGTTCCGATACCGACATACTAGATCTTAAAATTGTGACTAAAAAGTTAACTTACCTTTTACCTGTGCAAGATAAAAACATTTTAATAAATAAATTTAACTTATTACAGCAGAACTCGAGTGAGAATTTCATACAATGGTACATAAGAGTATCCAAACTGCATAAAAAATGTAATTTTTCGGATGACAGTAGATTAAAAGAAAAATTACGTACATCTACCTTAAATGACAAAATAAAATATAAATTTTGTAAAAATATTAATTTAACTTTAAATGAGATGGTTGAGTTAGGAATTAAGTTAGACAGTATCAGCGATAAGTCAGATGTTGATAATATAAGTTATATGAATAACGATAAAAGTCCGATAAAGATAAAAACTTTTACAATAGAAATAGAAACGACAACAATAATTATTTTAGACCTGATAATAATTTTAGAAATAATTTTAGAAATAATTATGATAATAGAGATAGAAATAGGTATTACAATAATAATTTTAGATACAATGATAGGAATTACGGTAATAATAATTCGAGATACCACGATAATTATAACAACTATAACTACAATAACTATCGCTATAACAATAATAATCAATCTAATTATGGTAGAAATAATACATGGCATGATAATAATCAAAGAAAACAAATCCAATAAGCTGACGGAAATCGTAACAATTACCAATCTTATTACAACAATTCAAATAATTATAGAGGTAGTGACAATAATCAGAGAAAGCAAATACAATATAACAACAACTCAAATAATTATAGAGGTGGCGACAACAATAATAGAAAGCAAATACAATACAACAATGATTATAATATGAATATTGAAGAAATTATTGAAGAGAAAGTTGACTCTACAAAGAACAAAAATGATAATGATTTCAATGTTAAGAACTTATCTGGTGATCAATGACAAAGATAATGCATTTTTGACTACTTTAAAAGTGAACGATTACATGTATGCAAGTAGATACAGGCTCAAAACATACTATTATACCTCATGGTCTGGCTAAAAAACTTGGTATTAGAGATGTTAAGAAATCCGAGCTACAACTTACCGCTTATGACGGAAATTTAATCAAGATCATCGGCACCACTCAAGTTAAAGTGACTTATGATGGTATCTCAAAATATTTACAAGCGATAGTCGTCGAATCAAGTAAAAATGCCTTGTTGGGACGTATATGGATCAATGCTTTCAAAAATATTTTAAATAAATTTATAGCAAATGTAGACACTAATTACGAAGATGAAATAAAAAAATTGATTAATAAGTGTGAATTCAAATTGACTAATGGGCCAATCAACAAAGCAAGTGTCAAGTTACATTTAAGAAGAGATGCCCAACCTAAAATTATACCGCCTAGACGTATTCCTTATTCAAAAATTGCTTGTTAGCAATGAACTTAAAAAATGGATACATGATAAAATAATTGAGCCGGTGAATGATGTCCGATGGGCAAGTCCTGTTACCGCTGTCTACAAAGATGATGGGAGCATTAGGCTTTGTGCTGATTTCAAGGACACTGTAAACCCAGCTCTAGAAGATTTCAGATACCCTCTACCACGAATCAATGATCTAATAGCTAAACTTTCAGAAGGAAAGAAATTTACGAAGATTGACTTTAAATATGCTTTCTTACAGATACCAATTGATAAAAGTTGCAGAAATATTTTAACCATATCTACGCACAAGGGGTATTACCAATTTACTAGACTTCCTTTTGGGCTTAAGACCTCATCTGCAATTTTTCAACAGATTATGGATCAAATCTTCGGTGATATGGATGACGTCATATTTTATATTGATGATTTACTTATAACTGGAAAAAACAATGAAGCCCACTTTAACAACATGAAAAAAGTGTTTGATAGAATATCATCGTTTGGGCTAATACCTAACTTCAATAAAAGTGTGTTCTTTAAAAACAAAGTGAGGTACCTGGGTCATGATATTGACGCTAGGGGGATTCATGCTAATCACGACAAAATTGAAGCAATAATTAATATGCCAGAACCAAAATCAGCTGCTGAATTATCAACATTTCTGGGAATGGCTGGCTACTATAGAAAATTTTTGAACAATTTTGCAAAAATTGCCGATCCTCTATATAAGATTGTCAACAAAGAAAAATGGGCTTGGAACCCAGAACACTCTAAAAGTTTTAATGATCTTAAGAAGTTGATTAGTCTTCCACCTGCTTTGACATATTTTAACCCTGAATTACCTATAGGGATAGCCACTGACGCATCGAAATGTGGTTTAGGAGCTGTACTATTTCATACTGAAAAAGATGGTAAAGAAAAACCTATAGCTTTCGCGTCAAGAACTTTAATAAAATCCGAAATGAACTATACCAATATTGAGCGTGAGGCTCTCGCCATTATGTTCGCTATAAGGAGGTTCCAGGAATACTTAATCGGCACAAAATTTACAATTATTACTGACCATAAACCTCTAGTTCACATTTTTACCAAGGGTCTTAAGGATAATAACACCATGTCCTTAAGACTCCAGAAGTGGAATATTACATTAGGATGATATGATTTTAATATAAAGTATAAAGCCGGTAAATATAATGTTTTTCCTGATTGTCTCTCGAGATTACCACAAGAATGTCATGATGAAACTATTGAAAATATCACTATAATAAATGAATATGGGGATTTACCTATTAATTTTAGTTGATAATAGTCGATGCCTACAGCAAATTTCCAATTATTATTCCTGTTAAAAATATTACGACTGATGTTGCTTTAAAAGAAATCTTCAAAAGTATTTCGCTATATGGAATACCTGAAACTATAGTTACTGATAACGGCACTAACTTTACGAGTAACGATTTTGAAAAATTTTGCAACAATTTCGGTATTAAACATGTGCTCACATCTGCTTATCACCGGCAATCCAATGGCCAGGTAGAACGCATGGTGAGAACGTTCAAAACACATATGAAAAGGAATATTAAAATTGACCTAGATATCGCACTTGGCAAATTTTTATTTATTTACAGAAATACGCGTAATGATACTACAGGAGTTACACCATCTCAGAGAATGTTTAATCGAGATATTAGAATTAAATGGGACTTATTAAAACCGTTGGAGGAGAAGGAGAATAAAATAAACGTTACTTTACCACGTAATAGAACCTTTAACGTAGGAGATTTTCTTTGGTACAAAGTACAAGGTGATGATAAATGGTGCAAAGGTATGATCACACATAAAGAAAGTGACATGATGTTCCAAATTAAGACAGAGAAAGGTATTTTGAGGAGACATTTAGATCAAATAAGAATTAGAAACTGTTTTAACACAATTATTAACCATGACTCTAAGGATTCTTTTAAGGAGGGAATAGTGGACAAAAATATAAAAATTACTGATAATAACGATATAACACCTATTTCTAGACCTATGCGAATTAAACAAAAACCTGTTTATTTAAAAGACTACATAACTTAAAATATTAAATAAATATTAAATTGCATAAAGTAAATTAAAAATTAAAACGCTTACACTAAAACGCAAAAAATTAAAAGGCTGAAAATATTATATAACAATCTTATTGATTTATCATTCTTCGTTTATTCTTATATCCAATATGATGAACTATCGCAACTTACTGATGATAATAACAATTTTGAAAAATGATAATAATAACAACTGAGTACAACCAAGCAAGCTATATGACAAAGTCACGATTTATAAGGACAACTTACGATAAGGATATCAAGCTTACGATTTAAACAAACCAACGTATAAACACAGTAAACGATTGGGACAAGCCAACGATATGATGACTTGTGAAACAACTTGATGAACAAACTAACTACGATAACATAATTAAAGTGTGAAGGCTTTTTAGAAGAAGGAGAATGTTATATATTCAAAATTGATAACCTTACCTATTATTACTTTTTGTTTTTCGTTTAGAAATTAATATTTATAATCTAATTTTTATAACCTTACCTATTATTACTTTTTGTTTTTCTTTCAGAAATTTATATTTTAAATATAATTTTTGTAACCTTACTTTTTGTTTTTCGTTTTGATCATATATATTCTAATTTATATTTTTAGATAATATATATGTCGTAATTTTTTAAAGGGATCATGACTATCCGGGATCTTCACGGGATTTAAAAGGATCCCATTAAAATTTCAATTTTTCAAAGGATAAAAGAACTATACGGTATTATCACCTTTTAATCGTGATAAAGAGGAATCTTATTTTAAAAGCGTTTTCCACGAGTTTCGTTGCGTTTTTTAATTTTCTATGTTGTTTTTTTGGCCTTATGATATAAGATATGTCTAGGGTATCAATCGATAGCTAATTAAAAGATCTATTCAACTGGAGGTCAATATCTGCCCCATCATGGGCGGTCTAGGGGGGTAAGGGTGGGGGTGGGGGGGGGGGGTATAAAAATAATATTTTTTGATATGGATATCAATCGATAGCTAATCTAAAGATCTATTCAACTGAAGGCCAATCTCTGTCCCATAATGGGCGGTCTGGGGGTTGAGGGTGAGGGGGGGGGGGGGGTGTAAAAAATAATTTATTTGATATGGGTATCAATCGATAGTTAATCAAAAGATCTATTCAACTAAAGGTCAATTTCTACCCCAAAATGGGTCTGGGGGGGATGTAAAATTTTTTTTGTGATATGGGTATCAATCGATAACCAATTAAAAGATCTATTCAACTGGAGGTCAATGTCTGCCCCATAATAGGCGGTCTAGGGAGTGAAGGTGGGGGGGGGGGGGGAGGTTGTAAAAAAGTATTTTTTGATATGGGTATCAAATAAAAGCTAATTTTAATATGGTTTGATTGAACGTCTTTATTCTTGGTCTTGATGGGTATGACTTGGTCTCAGGGGTGGGAATAGGGGGCTGTAAAAAATAATTTTTTTTGATATGGGTATCAAATAGCTAATTTTAATATGGTTTGATTGAAAGTCGTTATTCTTGTTCTTGATGGGTATGATTGGTCTTGATGGGTATGATTGGTCTTGATGGGTATGACTTGGTCTGGGGGGGGGGGGTCAACATGTTAACAAAATGTCTAGTTGGATAGAATTTACAGAAATAAAAGAGAATGAAGATAAAACAATTTTTAAATCTTTTTTCGGTTCCAATCCTGAACTTGAAATATATAATATGCAGTGTTCTATATTAGCACGATATTCCATAGCTATTTTTTTAGTATCGATATCTTTAGCGTGCAACATTTTTTTAAAAAGAGAGATAACGGTAGCTCGTTACTAAATAAATAGCAAAAATTAATTATAACAATTTTATAATTAATTCTAAAATCATAATCTTTTAATTTTATTTTATTTTAAAATTTAAATTTACATTTAAAAATCAGGCGCGTACGCAGCGGGGGGGGGACAGGGGGACAAATCCCCCCCCCCCCCCCCAAAGCCAAAAAATGCAGATGCCGGATTATATTTTTCAAAAATATTATTGTTAATATTAATTTATATTTGTTAATATTTATTCTTATCTCATATATACATATATATATATATATATATATATATATATATATTATTTATCACATTCATCTACTAAGTTATTTTATCAATCAATTTCGATTTCAAGTTTTCCTTGGCGTAATTTACCTATTATTTTCAAATTTTAGTGGCGTAATATTTATCTAAATTTCTAATAAAATAATAATTATCTCTGAAACTCCTTGTCCAACAGGGAGAAAAAAATTGCAAGCTTGTCCAACGAGATCGAGTCTCCGCCACAGTAACAGCTATTTTGGAGTTAGAAGAGCTGATTATTAATGCTATTACTGAAATATCACAATGGCTTGAAAGAAATATTTCCTCAGAAGCAAGAAAATTATTGGATTCAATACTTATTCCAAATTTTTTTTCTCATTAGAATGTATTATTTAAT